ACACACACACACACACACACACACACACACACACACACACAAATGCACACACACAAAGGAAGAGCATAATGAAATGTGACAAGCCACAAGCTGAAACAGCCTGAAATGCTGCAAGACTTGAAATATCACCAAGGCGGTGCTATAAACAGGTTTATACTGCTGCACGGGTGAGGAATAAACTTTTTGTGTGATTGTTGTGGGGGTGGAAGTGAAAAGATCTGTTTGTCCTTTTAATTAGATCGTTCTTGGGACACAGTCATAAATCATTTTTTCCAACCTCTACGATGGTACATTATCACCTGAGCTGTACTCATGCAACAAACACTGCTCTTGCAGCTGTCAGGAAAAGTGCTAATGTGGTGCCCATAAAAAATCAACTGAATAAATTCAAGATATGTTTATATTTGAATGAAACGGGGAGTGCGTCTTTTCAGTGGTTAATAATCAGTTTGTTGATGAAAAGGAGTGTGAGAGCACTATAGTTGGAAATCTTGATTGTTTCTATGGAGATGAAATGTCAGATCCTTTAGGCCACCTCAGTGTATTTTTAATGAGCATTTCTTAAAGGTATGAACAGTGGCAACTTTTGCACAGAATACATAGTTAATATAATACCACAGATATGACTGGTATATGTGCAGTTACAATTTTCCCTTTTAAATGCTTAATCTAGTTTATAATATATAGAGTCCTTAGTCAGCTAAAGACTTGCTCACTTAAAGGACACACATTCTAACCAAATCTAAATGCACCCCTTGGACAAGTTGCCAGTGTATTGCAGGGTAAACATACAGAGACAAACAACCACACCTAACAATCAGTTTGTTTAACCTCACCCATATCTGCATGTCTTTAGATTGTGGGAGGAAGCTGGAGTCCCCAGAGAAATCTGATTCAGACACGAGGAGAAGAAGCAAACTCCACAAAGAAACAGGCAATCTTTCTAACAGTATGAGTTGGGCACATAGAGATAAAATAGTGTTTACTTTCCTAGTCCACCACCATTAAATAACTGTAGAAGAAGAAGATGCAACAAGATGACCAAAATAAAAGAGCTGTTGTTTAACCTCAAACCATGGAAAACCATGGGGCAAATGTAGAGTTTATATTTGTTTCATGTGTTAATTCCAGTATGTAACAGTCTCATCGCTGCACAAGCATCACATGGGTTTGTCACAAGCAGGAGCTTCAGTAGAAGTCTTAGTCACCTGCTCTATGTATTTCATGATCTGTTTTCATCACACTTTGTGACATTTCATTTTTATTAATGCACAGACTTGTGCATCTCAGCCAAACATAGTGATATGAGTTTTTCAAATGTGTTGTTTTGCATTCTCCTTTTTTATGTGCAAATCAAAAATGCACACAAAAATATGTTGGTTGAAAAAACCTGAAGCATTTATATGAACTCCCAGAGAACACAGCAAACTGTGTAGGTGCTTTGTCTCCAAGAATGTGGGTTCAGTAATTGATCAAAATAGGATGTGCAAAATGATTTGACCCTGAAAGGTAAAAATAGTTGGACAAGGTGCATATTACTTGTTTTTGGCTGTGGTACCTGCAATAGTTGGAGTGGCAGTGCCTGTGGCTCCCACTGCTCATTATCTGGTTGGCACTAACTCTCATTTCAAGTCCAGCACATGTTGGAGGAGGTACTGAGGCACCTCTCTCTGTTGAGAGCACCTGCCTGTTCAAGTGTGTCAGTGGACGACTGCTGATGATTTACTTTGCTCTAATTACATGAGTACTTAAGCTTGGACACGTTCCATGCTTTTGATGCATCAAAGAGTTAAAGGAGAAGCTGGAACAAGTTCAACAAGTTCATTGGTTTAAAAAAAAAAGTGAGATCCATTTTAGACTATTTTCATTTTATTCATTTTTGGAAAGCACCAGGGCCCAACAGTCCCTTTAAATTGAATCAAACTGCACTGAGTTGTACATACTCATAAATGTCAGTCCCATAAATATGCCTCATTCTTTCATCGAGTTCCATGAATTATTCCCAGAGAAATTGATGTTTATTAGGTGGCAGCATTACACAAACACTACCAAACGCAGATAAAATCAAAACCAACATATTTACTATTGGTATCTATATACCTGTCGAGTGTGTGTGTGTGTGTGTGTTTGTATTTGTGTACTATACTTTAATAATATCTGTTGTTAAAAGCTTTTTAAGTATCTTACAATCACAGACCAGGATTAAAACACGACTGCCCTCCTTTGTCGGCTGGCTTCTGGGCGGCAGTTTGATTAGGCCTTCCTTCAATAGAACAAGCTCCAGTTGAATCCCTGGTGAGTAACCAAGGTATCCGTGAACAAATCTATCTCTCCATATGAACATGCACTCTCCTTTGGGAGGGACAGACTGCATTTTGGCGAAAAAAAAGCAGAGAGTAGGAAAAATAATGGGAGAGGAGGTGAGAAGGAGAGAGGAGAAATATAGGAGAGAAGAAAAACCAGTAACAGGCAGCAAAGGCAAGTACACTTACAGTGTAACAGAAGGAGAAAAAAAACAGAAATCCAATATGTCAAAGGGTCTGTTCCAGATGAGTAAGTCAAGGAGAGGACCATGGCAGAGTGTGAAGTGTAGAGAGATACAAAAGACAAGCTGTTGTACTGGATCTCCTGCTAAATGATCAACGTGTGAGGACATTTGAATTATCTAAGTCTTTCTAGGCATACACCTTACCCTATTTGTTTCCTCTCTGTAAGGGTATATGTTGTAAAATTGTATTTATATATTTCTCAACTTAAATTTTGTCCATTTTTTTTCCCCATCAAAAGAACAGAGCTGATGAACTGGTATAACATTAAATAATCCAAGTGATGTTTTCACTGGTGTGTAATCATCTAAATTGTATGAATTGAGTATATTCTGAATAGAATGAGTTCTTTATATCTAAAAACGTCACCTCTAGATGTCTCTAAATTCTACACACTGAACCTTTAAATGCAGTCCCGTGAATTATGTGCCTCCATTACTGAAGATGATTGGTGTTCATTAAAGTTACCTTTAGAATTTCAGCTGAAGATATCTGTGGCAGATTAGTTTTGGAGTGTATATTGTTCTGAGAGCTCAAGGGGCCCCTTGAGGATCCGAGTGTCCGACTCTTTAGGATACAGAGATTTGAAAAATTAAATGATGGTAGATGCTCAAAGGCAGTGGTCCTCAACACATCAATCACGATCTTCCGGTCGATCTCGACAGTCTTAACTGTAGATCCCTGTAACGCTCTGGACTCACTGGCTGCAGAGCTGCTGTTTTATCTACTGCATTTCCTCCAATACAAGTCGGATTATTTGCTAAACTAAATGTCAGGACACTACAGTTTGAAGATGCATCTTCCCGTCTCACGATAACAGTCAAAGCCCTGAGAGGGCAAATGAATACATTCAGAAAGTGAAAGACCGGAGTGCCTTTACTTTGAAACGGGTTTGGGGAGTGTTGGAAATACGTCCGTTTGTAACATAGACAGATAAACATTGTGTTTCACAGCAGAATAAACAGAAAAAATTATTAACCTGAGTTTCTATATTTATTTTTGAATTTATGTCACAAACATAAATGGTTGAAACACTTTCTGTATATGTTTCAAAATAAAATCTCTGTGCTCAGTGTTTCTGATGACCAAATCCATTCTTTTGTTTAAAAAAAGGGGTCATTATTGTGAAATATTTGCAAGTGCAAGATGCACGACTTCATACTGTATAATACTGGTATTTCTCTACACAGGACAAGGAAATAGTAATATTTATGGCCATATTCAAGGCAAAGCCTATGTAAAACGATGTGAACTCTGCAGAACATATTGTAAAACTGAGAAGCCAAATGTTGTGCATAGAAACAATGTGAATTGATATTGTGAATATTGTGCATTTAATTGATCAAGTTTCATACCTGCCCTTCTTTGTGTATATTTATGCCTGTACATTGAGCCTTTAACAGAAATTGTAAAAAATCATGTTAAATAACGTTATTTCAGCAGCATACATGGACTTAAACGGCAGCACTTACACCTGTAGGACTAAAATGCATTCCTGCATATGCATCAGTCTGGAGAGGGATGGCTTCTCTGATTTTGTCCTCCTTTTCCGCCATCTATTCCTGTGTTCCTCTTTACCTCTATCCCTCTCTTTTTTCATGCTGGATGAGGAGCATCATGTTTTTACCACCTAGGTGACAAGCACATTTTCTATCGCTCAGAGCCTTGAAGATAACCTCAAAAGAACAAATTGTCACAGTGGAACGACAGGTTCCAGGTGGCAGGGAGGAAGTCGTGCTTATTTCAGGCATCTTTCAATTCCTCAGTGACAGGAACGAGTGTCTGATGTGCCGCTTGCTGCTTTTTCCTTTGGATCTGGGCTAGTGTCAGTTCTTGTGCAAGATGAAGTTGGAAGAGAGGGGAGACACAGGGGTGAGATCAATGTGACTCAGGAATGAAAGCGCTGAAAAGTATCTCTCTCCCCTCACACTGCAGAGACGTTGTTTCTGCTGCATTTTAGAGTCAGGTTGAGTTCCGTTTTTGCTTAGACTGGTTTGAATCTAAGTGAACCAGTCTGAACTCTTATGATGACAGGTTCCGGCAAATCAAAAACTAGCCTACGACAGCAACTGTGTTAGTAATGACAACATTATCTATATAATAAGCCTAAGGATGGTAGAGGGTTCAGTTACAGAAGAGGCAGAGGGAAGACGTTGTTTACTACAAAGTTCATATATTTTTTGTGACAAGGAAAGAAGACGTGGCTGCTGGTTACATCCATATTACTACATTTACACAAGTTGTATCATTGTTGCAAATGCTGGTTAATTCTTCCTGATGGGGCTATGTGAAAGGAGCATGACAAATCAGTGAAGGCTGTTGTGACCGAAAGTGCCTAATCCCAAAGCGGTTGTCAGTGTGTATGTCATAGTTTCCAAACATCTCTATTTTATGCCTGTCCAGACTAAATTGCTGCCTCAAACTAAAACGGGACCAGCAGCATCTTAAAACTTTTAGCAGCCCTAAAACACTGTAGTGTTGACAGACGTTTCTGTATGAAAACATAGTAGTGTGGATGTAGCCTTGGCAATATGTTGTATCTGAATCCAAGAAAGTTGAATGTTTGTTGTGATAAATGAAACCATGATGTCGCTCAGTTGTCCTACAGACGATTGTGCCACCTAAATATCTGCATCTTGTTATTATCTAATGTTTATTAGCGGTTGGACTGGAGTCACTATTTGCTAATTTATGATCTCTGTGTTTTTATGATCCACCAGTCCAGTATGATGTTTGACCTAATATCGAAACCAGTTACAAATGGGTTCAACTGCATTTTTGTTCAATCTTGTCATTGTGTTTTTGTCTGATGTTCTTTTGAATGTTGTTAGTTAATTAACGTTTTCAAATAACAGTTTTTGGGGACAGTACTTTTTTCAAGCTGGCTTTTTCCTTGTGTGAGATGAAGCTTTGCTCAGATCCTGGCAAGTATTCCAGGTTTAAAAGTGATCGAATTATATCAATGGACTCTAGAATAACATCTTTTGTGATTTGATCATGATGCATTCAGGGAATCATCAGTCATTAATGCACAGAAACATTGTGTTTATCAAGCCATTCAACTCCAAGGTTTCTGTGGTTGACATGAAACAGGAGTAGACACCTTGTTCATTCAAAGCTTTAACAAAGCTAATGAAGCTGTTGCTAATTAAAGCACCTATTCAGACATGCACTGAATTACTGAAATGCTCTGACAATGGTACACTTGTCATATGAAGGAGCCCTGGCTCAATTTTTCTCTGGTTTAATTGTCTTTTTATTAGCACAACATTGCCACGTGATCTGTTCTTATAGTGAGTAAGTAAATATTATGGAATGTTTAAAGGCAAACTGTGGAGCATGATTTTACCAAATGTAAAATCTTTTTTATGCAAAGTCAGCTGCTGCCATGCCAGCAGTATTGTTCAGATTGTCATGTGCTGCTTTGCATCTCGTGAACATGTTGGGGTCACAAAATGACCACGATGCTCACACAAACCTGTGGTTAAAAGCAAGAATACAGGTGACCTCAACATCTCGTTTGGTTTTATACCATCCATGCACATGGTGGTGGCATAAACTTACCAACTAAGGCAGTAAAGCAGCAGTGTTAAAAAAAAGCTTTGCTGATAGATCAGGTTTTATGATGCACCAAAAGCATTTGTTAGACCTCAAGGACATATTCAGTATAATATAGTTAAGTGAGAAACATTGACAATATACCTAACTCTTGTTTGTTTATAAAGAAAAACCCTAGAGGCCATCTGTTATTGCTGTTGTTTGAAGCAGCAGAGGACAGAACATTATAAAGCAACACTTTGTGGCTGTACATTATTACTTTACATCTGTTTCTGGGCTTACTTGACTTTTGTGCAAGATTCCACTCTGGCTGTTACAGTCTTATAGACAATAAGTAACTAAGTGAGAGGTGGACTGAGTGCCTCATGGCCTCATCTTGTTAAGAATAGTTCCTTTTTGATAGATGGCTCATTGCATATTGTTTGTTCTATATCTAAACATGTTGGATCAGTGCAAAACAATCTCATCAGTAGCTGGTTGCTGTCCTGGACCTTTTGACCTTTTGAGATGATTTCCATTTTTCTGAAAACTGTTTGAAGGCCTCACCTTCTAGTTGATTGGAGAATATACATAGTTCTGTGTTAACTTGGCTGATAAGGATCATATGAATTGATTGAGAGCTCCAGAACAAGCCACTGTTGTAAAATTCATTTGTTAGTTATCATGCTGCTTTCAAACTGTGTGGTTGGTGCGTTTCATTTCAGAACAATCAAGGTGGAGGTGTATGACTGGGATCGGGATGGCAGGTGAGTGTGAAATCCAGTCATCACTACTGGTACTGACATGAGGAACTTCTAACACACAATCTGCCATTCATGAGAATAACATCAACAATTGAAATGATTTTGAGAAAAAACTTTTCAATGAATATTCACCCAAGAAACATTTCGTGTCACAAAGTTCCATCTTGTTTTGTTTTTGGTGCCTGATTTTTTTTTTTTTCGTACTCACCGGTGTTTCTCCATCTCCCAGCCATGACTTCATCGGGGATTATACGACCAGCTACCGAGAGCTAGCTCGAGGGCAGAGCCAGTTCAATGTTTACGAGGTGAGTATTCCACTGATGCCCCCGTTCAAAATGGTGTCTGTTGATTCCCTGAACATCGGGTGTCTTGGATCCCATTTCTGACACAAGTGACGTTTCTATCTTTGACATCACTGTTTCTAATTTCTCTTGTGCATTCTTTCACATCGATATTTTACTCTTCTCCAACAAACAAATGCATTTTTCTGAAAGGAATCACTCCAATATCAGTTTTTACAAAGTTTTTCTGCAAGTTTCCTCATAGAATAGAATAGAATAGAAGCTTTATTGTCATTGTACAACATACAACGAAATTAAGGTGCAGCTCCAGAAAGTGTTTGAAGGGATAGTTGACCCATGACTCATGTTCCCCAAGCAGCTGTTTCCTCACCTGTGTTTTCCAAAACTCTAAGATTGGTTTTCCATAATAATCACCTGGATGCTGAAACACATACAGATGGAGCTATTAGCAACAGAATGAAACAGGATTGATAGCAGAACAATCTAGGGATTTTAAAATGATCTCTATTTCTCAATATTTCCCATTACTATGTCTCTTAATAGCAAACAATAGGGCTCTGAATGCAAACACTACTTTTTAAGATCTCATCCTAGTCTCCAAAAATGTCATAAATGTGTCTTATTTTATTGAAATTTTTGAATTTTTGAATTAATTTTGTTATTTTGTAAATCCTTGATGAAACGTGAGGAAATGTGGGAGTGAGTGTTCTCACGTTTGAAAATCAAAATATAACTGGAAAGGAGGACATCTCAGTACAGCCAAGCCTCTGTGGTTCGATGGCCTTTAACGGAAAGACAAATACCTGTCTTTTAGATGTCAGCTCCATTATACACCACTCTTGATTCCTTTCTTCATCCCAGTGAGACTGAAAGGCCCTTCAGTTTTTGCATCAACAGATTGTTCAGAGTGTCAGACAAATTGCCATCTCTCCATGTTAAATTAGGGGCTGTCACTTTCATGCCTACCAGCCATAGAGAATGGAGATAATGAGCTGAGACGTATTTGGTCTCTGGATTGACATTTCTCTCTTGTTCTTGAGCCAATACAATGCTGTTGAAGTGAATAAGTCCTGCACCTTAAGCTTGTCTCCCACATCAATTCTAGTCTGATATTCCTTTTTCAGGCCCCCTCTGTGGAATAGTTTGCTCATAGTAAACCCATGAATATGATTTTTTATACAATTAAGTTTTTTTAAATGATCTTACATGAGTTTTTTTGCATGATACCTCTGTTACACAGACATATAGCCATTTCTTCCCTAATATGTTTAACATCAGTTAAATGGACAAACCCATTGTTCAGCCTCCAATCTATTCGTCAGCTTGATGGGCTTCATCTCTTTTCA